CTGAGCTACTGGAAGTGTTCCGGAGTGTCAGTAAAGTGAAGAGTTAGAATTAGTGATAGTTTAGTTAGTTAGTGAAGTTAGTACATCAGCCTACTGCGGTAAGTTTGATCACCCAAGTTGAAGAATAAGTTAGTAAGTGAGTGAGTTAGTGATAAGTAGTAAACTAGTACAGTATTGTAAGCGTGAAACCAACAAAGAGTTCGGAATTTGAAGCATATTAGTAGTAGTAGTCATCATATAAGTAGTAGTACATTAACAATTAACCAATAACAAGTAGTAGTAGTATTAGTACCGGTGCTCTAGTTTTTGATTAAAGTGCCTTAGCAAGAAATTGTTCGAGGAAGAGATCATTAACAAACTCTATAACAAAGTATCTGTTTCGTGCTCAAGTCATCAGCACCACAGTTTCCATTATTAACCTGAAGTTGTAACAGATTCATTAGTAGATTGATACGTGATCTAGGTCTGATAGAGATTACTTTACGAAAGTAAGATCTATCTTGGAATCAGCCATACATTATTAAATATTGATTACAAGACTCTTAGTTATTTGTTTAGTACATTTAGAGGGGCAGGTCTTTCAAACCACCCGTAAGTTGTAATAGTCTTTCAACCTATTTGCAATTTATTTCCCCCTCAAAGGATCTTTTGATATACATATACTTTACCGTGTCTATCCGTCCCAGGAGTCCTACATCTGGTGTCCCAACAGTGGCCGATTACCTTCATCAAGATCATTCAAATCAATCATATTTTTCTAGCGAATCAACCTCAACATCAAATCAATCGTGGATAACGGGAAGAAGGCAGATTTTGGCGGCGATAAGGAGCGTTCGATTGGCGATACAAAGGATACGATTGAAGTGGCGAAGTATTTAATTGGCGAGACGAAGGGTTCGACCGGCGAGAAGAAGGATTCGATTAGTGAAAAGAAGGATTTGATTGGAAAGACGAAGGAGTCGAGCGAAGATACCAAGGAGTCAAACAAGACATCCAGGATTGACGAGGAGATTAGAGAAAGGGAGCGGAAATTTTTGGAAGAACAATTTGGCAAATTATTAAAACAAAAATCAAAGATGGCGAACACGGAGGATCAAGTCCGGGAACAGTCGGCCATTATAGAAAAACAGCAAGCCGAGGTGGCAGAACTTAAGGACTCAATGAAACAGATGAAGGAGATGATGATGTTAATGATGAATCAAGCAAAAGCACCACAGAATGTACCAGTTCCAGAAACTCCACCACCACGTGGACCATCATTACGATTTGCAACCTCAACACCATACACCGGAATGGCAGGAATGGAAACTACTATTGGCGCAGGAGAAGAAAGCTTGCTAGGTCTGGCGGTAACTTCATCAGAAACCAGTCAGACTAGGACGAAATCCGAAATCAAGCTCTCGGACGAAGAAAAGGGTGTAGTTCTAGACACAAGGAAGTTGAATTTGGACTTTGATGGATCAGAAGTGGAATTATTTATCAAACGTGTAGAGAAGATAGCTTCCTTGCACAAAGCTGGCGGACAGGACGTAGCACTTCAGTTACCATTCATGATTAAGGACAAGAAGATCAGCGAGTGTATTGAGAATATGGAAGGACACGAGAATCGGGATTGGGAACTTTTGAAGAAGGAACTCATTCGGAAATGGGGACGAGCGACACCTCTTAGGCGATTTAACGAGAACTCGGTTTCAACATTGGTCAGCAAGTACATGGACAAAGGCGGGATTCAGACGAAGGAGGAATACAGGACGCTTATTGGCGAACTCGAGGAGATTTTGGCGTATTTGACGAAGATGGATTACGAGGACGTGAATGCGACAAGTGGCGAACCACTTTGGAAGGCGATTTCGACCGAGATGCGACGGGACGTGGCGAAGGAGTTGGCGCACGACAAGAAATTAAAGAAGACCAAGGATGGAAAGGCGCTGGTACCCAAGTTGGAAGTGTTGAAGGATTACGTGGAAGCTTCTTTGTCAGTATATGACTTAGATGTTGGAATTCCCAAAGCCAAACCTGCTACCAAAGAATCCGAGAATAAACGAGAAGCTCAAGCCAAGACAAAGTCGGACAGCAGCATTGACAAAATGAAGGCTTTAGAGGAGGAAATTAAGAAGTTACGTACCGAAGTGAATACCAACCAAAACGCTAGACCATTTCCACCTCACTTTTCAGCACCAAGACCGCCGAATGCAGGATTTAGACCGCCAGGACCAGGAGGACCATCATTTCCAAGACCACAGCTGCAATGTTTTTATTGCAAGGAGATGGACCATACCTCAATGTTCTGTCAGCACTTGAATGAAGATATTACTAAACGTCTGGTTTTCAAGCAAGGTCCGAACTTCTATTACCCCAACCGGGAAGTCATCCCAACAGACACCGGAGAATCAATTCGAGAATTGGTAAGGAAATTTGGTGAAAAATCGAATGCAGCCAAGGAGACCAGTAAGAAACAAGCAAATCTGATGATGAGTGATCAGTTTTCACAACCAAGACAAGAACCAACGGCATCCATGATCTCTACGAATCGATGGGAAGCATGGAGTCCACCAGAAATGCACTACGGTGAGGAAGATGAGGAGAATTTGATTGGATTTGGGCTGCGAAGGTCCGCTCGAACCAATAAAGACAAGGAGAAGGAAGTACAGCCACCAGCATCCAAACCAGAAACTTCCGGAAAGCTAAAGGAATCTACCTCAAAGACTCCGCCCGGAAATCAGGAAGCTAATAAAGATCCCGCAACTACTCGCAAGAGACGACCAAGTTATCCGGGAGCATGGATGGAAGGAGAATCCGACAACGAAAGTAGCGAAGGCGACAACGCAGAAGCAGAGAAACCTGTGTCACAAACACCAGAGAAGAGGGTAGAAGAGAAGTCAGCCAGAGAAGTATTTCCCCGAACCGTGGATCAGTCTAAAGTTGGGGGGGGACTTAGAAAGAAATTTCTGAAGCAAAGTTTCACGCTTACCTTGGAGGAATTATTATTAATTGCGCCCAAGTTTCTTCAGGAACTACAGACAGAAGCCGAAGATAATTCAATTCCATTGGAGCGAAGTCAGAACTCAGGGCGATGTGATCATAGGAATTTTGACGATAGGGAACCTCACCAACATCGGGAAAAGGGTATGAAATTAGGTAATAATGCATTTACTTATGCCTGTCCTTTGGGGTTTATCGAGGTTTGGATTGCTGGCCAGAAAATCAGAGCGCTAGTGGATACAGGAGCCGAAATGAATATTATGCCGGAAACCTTGGCAATCCAGTTGAAGTTACCAGCACGCGAGATTAGTATGAATATCATGGGAATTGGAGGACATTCAACACCCATTGTGGGACTAGCAGAGGGTGTTCATCTTTGTATTGACGAGGAGGAACAGAAGGGTGCTAACTTCTTTATCGCTCGAGGTAAAGTTTATACAGTGCTGGGAAGGCCATTCCTAGCAGATCATAAGGTACGTCTAGAATTATCAAAGAGTCGTGGGGAGATACTGAGTTATGAGTTATGGGATGGAGGAAGATTATGCATACCTATTTGCTCTCCCAAGATTCCAGGTTGGGAAATGGCTCCACCACGCAGGATAGCGGATAAGTGTTTCAGCATGCAAGTAGAGAATTATGAGTATAACATTGGAGGACCAATTATGAGCATTAATTCAATATTAATGGACGACAGCGGATCAGCGGACAACAGCGGATCAACGGACGACAGCGGATCAACGGACGACAGCAGATCAACAAATGATAGTGGATCAATGGACAACAGCGGCTTCACAACAAAGGGAGGAAATGGGACAAATGAGATACTTTTTCAACAACAGAAAGAGTTTATTTCTTTGAATCAACCGGAATACGGGAAAAGCGGGAATAAATCCAGAGAAAAAGATGCATATGAGACATTATTTGTTGAAGAATCACCATTTACTTGTATGGAACACTATAGCCCAACATCAGAAGAATTATTCAAGGAGTTGCCAGGATTTACAACAGGACGGGAAGATTTTACGGTGCTTTTGGATTGGTCTGGGACTCAGTCGTATTTGGAGAACCCAATTGTATGGTTAGAGGATCAATGTTTGATGAATCAAGTGCGAGTTGCATTTTATGAATGCAAATCATCAGGTAGGTATTACATAAGTGAAGACAAAAATTCAAATGAAGAAGAAAACATAAAACTTTTGCCCAAATTGGTTGAAAAGATGAAGTATTTTTACGGTAAATTTGATTGGAAGCTATTCAATTATGTGATGGAGGAAGAGGAAATAAAACAAGAGCAGGAAATTCCAGAAAACCCAGGATTATTCTGCATTTCTTTAAATGATTTAGACTCTCAATGAGAGTGTGATTATTTTTTTGTGCTCTTCTCCTTAATGTAAAAAAAAAAAAAGTGTAGTAGTTTTTGATTAGAATTTAATTAATAGTGTAGTTGATAGTCGAGGGATTCTCTTCAGATAGGTTTTTTTTTCATTTCATGATCTTCAAGTCACTGATTTGCATTGCAGCTCAATACAGATAAATAATAAAAATAAATAAATATATAAATAAAAATCAAACTAACAGTGAAAATATATGGAATATACAAAGAAGGGACCTTCAGAATGCTAATAGTCAGCAATTTACATGGTTATTTCTCTCATCTCTTTTGGCTTGGTGGCAGGCATGGAGTTCTTTTCTCTCTTCTCTTGTTATTTTCATGTGTTAGTTGTAGGATTTGAAACAGGGAAAATCTGATTGGACAGAACTAGGAGGCGACGACAACGATGAGGGGATAGCAACAATATTTGTGAAGTGGCAAGGATGATGGCGAAAAGAAAAAAAAAATCACATTCCTAGACTTTTGGAATCCACTTGTCTCGATCAAGTTTGTTAAGGAGGTCAGCAAGAGGGAGTCGGTAGTAAGGAGTGGCGACGAATTAGCGAGCAGGGCAACGACAAGGATGATGGGGCGATCAGAACAAGTGTCAAGAGGCGAGGGCGCTGGCGATGGCAGCAACGGCATTGGCATTATGATCAATCGGAATCAACTGTTTTTGATCAGTTTTTGAGGAGGACGGTGTGAGAGAAGCAATATTAAGAAGAGACAAAGACAACATACATCGTATAGTGGCGGCGCTCATGAAGGGGGAAAGAAGATGGCAACGATGGCAGTGATGAGATGGCAAAGAGCAGGAGATGGCGAGAGTAGTGATGTCGGTGGAAGAGAGGATGTTGTTTTTTGGAGCTTGTAACAATCGATTGACGGTAGCGGATTAAAAATATTAGACTTGAGGACTGCATTCTTCACCTTGATTACTGCGGTAAAGCTCTGTCCGAGATGAAGAACGGGTAAGAGATGGACAAAGTGATGCGAGGAGGATTCAATCCAATCGAGGTTAAGATCGGTAAAAACGGAACGGTAACGAAGATGTGGTCCCGGCGAAGATCGATAACCGATAGTGGCGGGTAGCGCGATAGTTTTTTTCTTTCTAGTTTTTTTTCTTTTTTTTGTAGGATTCAGCCTTGACATTCTTGAGAATTGATCGGGCAAGATTCAAGTCAGCGATGCGAAGAACGATCCGAGGCGAATTCGAGATGAAGAACTTAAAAAGCGACAGAAAGGGTGCTGCGGTCAGGATGAAATCAGTCAGCGGTTGAGGAGGTGAAAGGCCGATTCAAATCGAAGTAGTTGGATTAAAAACAGAAACAAAGAAAAAGAAAAGAGGGACGTACGATTCGGTTTCCGGGTGGGTAAGCGACAACGATCAATCCTGGGATGTTAGCTAGGAAGAAATTAGTAAAAGATCCAAACAAACCCAAACGTTTCTTTTTTCTTTCGGTGAAGGTATGGTAGAGCCGATTTGTTGATTCCAAGCCGATCGGACTTGAACTCGGAGCGCACCAAGCGCAAGAATTCAATTACATAATCAAGAGCGATCGGATTTATCCAAGTGGAGCGCATCGCGCGCAAGAATTCATCAAGGCCGATTGGAGTTAACTCTGGAGAGCGCACCGGGCGCAGCGTACAGATTTTGGATTTGAAGCGGAACAAGCGGAGAGATGCGCAACTGCGCACGGGCTAGGCATCAAGAACTTGAAGAACACCATTTCATTGGGCAATAAAATAAAAGTAAAACTGCCAAACCTCCTTGGCAAGAGGTTAAACTGCTGAAAGTCTCCTCAGCAAGAGATAAAACTGCTCAACCCTCCCTCAGCAAGGGGTAAAACTGCTCAAACCTCCTTGGCAAGAGGTTAAACTGCTGAAAGTCTCCTCAGCAAGAGATAAAACTGCTCAACCCTCCTCAGCAAGAGTTAAAACTGCTATGATAATTCATTCTTTTAGCTCCTCAGCATGAGATCAAAACTGCTACGTCTAAGGATAATGAAACTGAGTGCGGAAGCAATTTACTGTTGGAAAATTTGAGAGATATACGGCGTGGCGGACGGTTGAATTTGGATGGAAAATATTATCAAGAAATTAAATTAATAACAATATTGGAAAGCAATTGGTAGGCAAACAGGATCTTGTGTTTAGCTGAGGGAATAGGGTGGGCATAATCAAACAAATTCAAACGAAATTAGTCAAATTCAAACAAAATTAATCATATTCAAACAAATTCAAACAGAATTAATCAAAATTAAACAATTAACAATGTGCAAATATGAATTGGTAGTTAGTAAATAAATACAGAAGAAAAGAACACGGCGGTATGAGCATTGGATGGAATGGACAAAAAAGGACATGGCGACTTGGAAATTTAACAGGATGATGTAAAAACAGACAGACTTGGAAGGAGAAGAAGCAAACCAACAAAACGGATGACGTGGAACAGGAAATTAACGTGGAATATTTATACGTCAAGATGTTTGAAGATTCATAAGACCAGCGAGAATTATACATTGGATTGAGAGTTTGAGTGATAGTGATAGTGAAGAACGAAAGAGTGAAGTGTTTGAGTGGTTTAATTAATCCTTGCTGGATTTTCGGCCAACAACCTCTTCTTGGAGCGGGTGAGATGAAATAGTTTGAAATAACTCATGGGCGTCTTGGATTAGGTTGTAGCGGTTATCTTATGGAACGGAATATGGATTGAATATATGATATTGGACGGCAATGGACTTATTTACGGATAGAAGTGGACTTGGTACGGATTGGATCTTGAAGACGAAGGACGTTATTGCGGAAGTCTTGGTTAGAAATTACGAGGATCTATGGTCTTTTGGCATTTCCACAGGAATGCTGCGGACAGCATTAAGTTGGGGGGGGATGTGGTGTGCTGTGCCTGTTCCAATGCCAAAAGCATACAGCAGAGGTGTTGGGATAGCATATTTACATACATGTGACAATCATTACAAGAGAAGGAACAATCATTATGGATGAGGTGTGGTATATACGGACAGGATTACATACAACACATGGATTGGGAGAACGTATCTCGACCAGGAATGGAACAAGGGAGCGGTGTGCATACGAGGAGTGGATTGGGAGATCATATCTCAACCAGGAATGGAACGGAGGAGCGGAAGTATATACGGGAGAGGAGTGGGAGAACATGTCTCGACCAGGAATGGAACGGAGGAGCGGTGTGTAATAAGGGTACTTTATGTTTTACATAAGGGTACAGGGTACGGATTGTAGAAAGGGAAGGGAGGAAAAATATTGAGGCGGAGGGAGGAAGGAAGGAGTGAGGAGAGGCTTTGACCCCCAAATCCTGGGTGGAAGGAGATAACAGCAGGGCTGGCAGGCTGGTACTGCCTATGCAGAGTGTTCTGGAAGATGGCTTGGTTACCTGGTGACACATGACATCATGCTGCGCTTGGTTCTGGAAGATGGCTTGGTTGCCTGGCAATGCATGACATCATGCTGCGCTTGTGTGCTCCCTTGCATGCATATTATGTGACAAGGTCTGGAGTTAAGTGTTCCTAGCACAGCATGAGCTGCGCTATTTGTTTGGAGGCTGCGCGCAAAGGCTGTGCAGGTGAGATCCCCTGCAGCAATATTCCCTCACACGGAGTCCCCTGCAGCAGAAATCCCTCGCTCTTCAATATAAAAGAAGGACCTCTCACCACCAGAAAGTCCCTTCTCCCCATCAGCCTACAGAAGTCTCGCAGAGCAGTAAGTTGGTCCTGAGCTACTGGAAGTGTTCCGGAGTGTCAGTAAAGTGAAGAGTTAGAATTAGTGATAGTTTAGTTAGTTAGTGAAGTTAGTACATCAGCCTACTGCGGTAAGTTTGATCACCCAAGTTGAAGAATAAGTTAGTAAGTGAGTGAGTTAGTGATAAGTAGTAAACTAGTACAGTATTGTAAGCGTGAAACCAACAAAGAGTTCGGAATTTGAAGCATATTAGTAGTAGTAGTCATCATATAAGTAGTAGTACATTAACAATTAACCAATAACAAGTAGTAGTAGTATTAGTACCGGTGCTCTAGTTTTTGATTAAAGTGCCTTAGCAAGAAATTGTTCGAGGAAGAGATCATTAACAAACTCTATAACAAAGTATCTGTTTCGTGCTCAAGTCATCAGCACCACAGTTTCCATTATTAACCTGAAGTTGTAACAGATTCATTAGTAGATTGATACGTGATCTAGGTCTGATAGAGATTACTTTACGAAAGTAAGATCTATCTTGGAATCAGCCATACATTATTAAATATTGATTACAAGACTCTTAGTTATTTGTTTAGTACATTTAGAGGGGCAGGTCTTTCAAACCACCCGTAAGTTGTAATAGTCTTTCAACCTATTTGCAATTTATTTCCCCCTCAAAGGATCTTTTGATATACATATACTTTACCGTGTCTATCCGTCCCAGGAGTCCTACACCGTGTACTAGCAACAAGAAAAGGTGAGCCAAGTGGAATGATGGTGGTGATTGCTAACAAGATGCAGCAAAAGAAAGGAGAGCAAGAGTAGAGAGTAGGGAGGTGTGCAACAAGATGTAAACCCCCTCCCTCCTCTGTCAGGGTTTCACAAATCTTTCACCTACATGTCTCACTCCTCAAGGTTACATACATTATTGTCCCCTTCCTGGCTGAGAAGAGAACCAATCCGGACCTCTCTGTGAGCCAGGTGAGTCTCATTTCTATTTCATCTCTCTCCCTTCTTATGTTCTTTCTCATTCAGACTGTAAACAGAGAGAACTGATCCCAACTTCTCTCTGGGACAGAAATATAAAAGATCCCCTGTTTGGTCTTAGAACTGCTTAGGCTTTCAGCCTGTTCCCGGTACCTTTGCCACTCATCCAGTCAAGGACATTCTCAGTCCTTACACAAGATAATAAGATTGCAAGCTGATTTTTGTAGCTATTTAATTCTTATAAGGGTATGTGTAAGGATGGAGGACTTTGACTTTTCTTATAAGGGTGTGTGTATATTGGATGGAGCACTTGCTATTTTGGGGTGGGTGGCTCAGGTTGAGTGAAGAAAAAAGTGGACTTGGAAAAAAACCTCAGGGTGGCCTGGCGGCTGGGTGGCTGGGTGGTCCTTACTTTTGAAGATCCCACGGGCCTCTAGACCACCTGACATGTTTATGTCATGTAGTCTAGGTACTGTGTAATTATATAGTCCTCAAGTGAAAGAACCTTACCTCAGGGCCTCAAAAAATGTTTCTCTACTGATCTTCGCCAAATTTTGAAAATCCATTTTACCTATTAAAAATACAGAAAAATACAAGGAGCAGGCCAGCCTTCCTGCACATTTGATGCGATAGCTGAAAAGTGCTCATCTGGTTTTGTGTAGTCACTAGAAACCAAATGGCGAAAAAGGGCCAAAATGGGTTTCTGTTCCCTACTACTTTGCGCGGTTGCGAGTAAGACCCTCCTAATTCGGATTTCGCTTCGCGAGCTCCGATCAGCTCCGATCGAGGGACTTATCTAAGTGCGGTCTTCGGTGGTTCATTTCTTGCAGGCCGAATTCAGTAAAAAGAAAAAAGAAAAAAATAGCGAGGCAAGCAGACAAACATTCTCGGATTACCTGCCACCTGAGTGACTTAAACCGCTCAACTGAATGCTCTCAAGTCTAACCGCAGCGAAAATTTACTGAATGTTTACCGCCCGGATATCCGTGATTGACGAGCGAACTTTGAGTAATCTTAATGATCTATCTTGGTTGAATATCAATGATATGTGAATACCACACTGTTTTTGTCGACTCCAAGATCATTGGCCAGTAAATATATCTTTCCTTATAAAGTATGAAAGAGAGGAGGTGATGAGACACAAGACAACATGTGCTGCCCTGGCTCCAGGTGAAGTGCCCCACACCGGTGACACGAGTCGAAGTCAGACTGAGCGAGGCTGCCGGCATGATCAAGGGGATGCGCGTCAGGAAACGTGGAGGCTGGAGATCCAGGGACTGGAACACCGCCAACGAGTGGAATACATACATAGGATACGCTCCAGGTCAACAGCCTGCAATCATTAGACTCAACCTGCAACATATAGAGCGATGAGTTTTTTTATATGACCCATCGGCTTGCACTCGGCATGATTCATCATCAGTGTGTACTTCACAGCGTGTTGTTGAGATGTAGAAGATACATTTACACTGGAATATCTAGTTTTAAATGGCTCGTCTCAGCTGTGACGCTGTCCAACCCTCGGAAGACACCAAGGCTAAAAATCGGTGAGCAGTGCCAATGCTTTGCCAGATACACTTGGAGGAGGATGTGATAAAAGGGTGCCCTCAAACCGGCAACAGACTTCCTCCATCGCCTTCAACTCATCATCGGAATATCAGCTTGAAATAGCCTTCAAAAGACCTATTAGAAATTATATTAGACCAACGATACCAGAATTAACCGCCATGAATTCCATCAACGTAGTATTAGTTCTCTCATTAGTGATTAGTCTAGTTTCGGCTGGATGTTTCACGAGTGGTCAGACGTGGGGAAGTTCGTTGAATAAGCAGAAAGCCTCTGCATTCTTGGACGAGGTCTGTAGAGAGCTAGCTGGAAATTACGATGCATCTGCCTCTAGGAGTTCGTGCAAGGATGGGAACGATAATATCAGATTCAACTTTAATATCCTACATACTTCCGGCGGATCCCGTTCCATCAGCTCAGAAGAATGTATCAATGGACTCAACAAAGAGATCACCGGCTGTAATCAAGGCGGGAGGACCAATGACGGCAATTGGGAATTCACGTAAGTTACCGCATCAATCCCTTCTGTTTTCTTGGGCAGGAAAAATCTGGAGACTGACCTTTCGCACCTCCAGCTCCGACCCCAACACAGGTAGTTGCAAATAATCGCATCGAGCCTGCTACGTAACTCGGCTCTGGTTTGGTGTAGAAGCTCATTCCGATCAACCGCGCATTTCGTTCCCGAATCGCCTGAGCTACCTTCCATGGGCTGAAATAAAGCACAATGTCCCTGGGAGGGGCCTACGCGCCTGGAGTCTTTTTTTCCTCTTTTTTATTGAGCCATGGTCTATTGCCTCAATGATATAAGCAATCTACATTGGAATCGTATATCATAAAACTTTGTCCTGTTCCATGAAAACACTTCACCCCGGGCAAACCGGGTCATGAGAGGCATACAGGTTGCGCGGTCCTGAATGCATGTCATGTGACAGAGGACCTGTCACACATACATGACAGGTGGTCCGGGTTGCAACCTGAACACCCTTAGCATGTCACATACGCAGTGACTATGTGCTGGGTTTCACAGCCCTGTGTAAGAGATGTGACTCTTCACTGAAAGTCTCTTACTTTGACGGGCGGACACGGCGGTTAAGCCTAATCTTTCTAGAACCAACGTGTGATTTATTTCAAGACTAGACGGTTGAGAGTGGAACTCTCCGTCAGTACCATATTTTGAGAGCCCAGAGAAAAGAAAACAATATCATCCAAAAGTGAAATCAGCAGTACTCACCTAGACGGTTGAGAGTGGAACTCTACCGTCCAAGTGAAAGGGGCAGGGCTAGGCTATGTACATCTAGTAGCTTATGTAATCTGATCCTCTTGACCTTGTGAAACCCTTAAGACAAGGGGGGTTTCACACCCTGTCCACTACATGTGACGTGCATGAAATGCAGTCCTGTAAATTGAAGGGCACAGTTTTTTATGACATACCGTACAGGACTGTGTAACCTGCATGCCACCCGTGACCCCGATTTGCCCGGGGTGACTGACTTGCCAAGTTTTACAAATCCTTGTTGTGCTTGGATTTTTTTTGTTTGTTTCAGTAGTAAACATTTGTAGGGAAACTTCTCTGATGAGTTATGTGTGATCTCCTCAAGCCATATGGACGGTTCAATTCCCTGAGTCCAGTCTTTTTGAGCAGCAGAATATCTGTTCTCATCTCACTGGGTCAGCTGGGTTGGAGTGGATCCTTGTTGCAAGTTTGATAAGAGATGCAGCGGAAGTGTTGGCATATGACCTCTGACTGTATGGCAAAATCTTGTAGCCAGGTGCTCCCTTTTAGAGGTTTTTTACTATACTTTTAACTCCACAGACCAGCACAGACCTTTGCAACAACTTTCAGCTCACAAAAATCTAATTCGATTGTCTTGCACTTTGCCATCTCCCAGAAAGCCAAAGGGGGGTTTTTATCATCTATGCAATCAACGGTGCAACGAGTCCAATACATGTATTTCTAGTGGGTGTGTATTGCACCAAAACGTATAGGCAATACATGTATTTGTATTGTAGCTGAAGCAACGGTGCAACGAGTCCTATACGCGTATTGTATAGGCATATACAGCGTATTGCACTTTGTCAGGAGTACATGTATTTTGAAATACATGTATTGCCTCTGCTAGCGAATACAATACAAATACATTGTATTCATTTTCTAGTCTATACAATACAAATACGTTGTATTTACAAATACAGTTTTGGTTGTATTCCCTTTAAAACCCCTTTTTTCATTTTTTTCTTCTCTTTTTTCTTCTCTTTTTTTTCTCTTTTTTTTCTCTTTTTTTTCTCTTTTTTTTCTCTTTTTTTTCTCTTTTTTTTCTCTTTTTTTTCTCTTTTTTTTCTCTTTTTTTTCTCTTTTTTTTCTCTTTTTTTTCTCTTTTTTTTCTCTTTTTTTTCTCTTTTTTTTCTCTTTTTTTTCTCTTTTTTTTCTCTTTTTTTTCTCTTTTTTTTCTCTTTTTTTTCTCTTTTTTTTCTCTTTTTTTTCTCTTTTTTTTCTCTTTTTTTTCTCTTTTTTTTCTCTTTTTTTTTCTCTTTTTTTTCTCTTTTTTTTCTCTTTTTTTAACTCTTTTTTTTCTCTTTTTTTTCTCTTTTTTTTCTC